GAAGCACGTGTCAACATGTGCATGCGGTAACTCACATAGACTGCGATTCTGTGGTGTGAACCGAACCTAAGGCGTCATGTATTGGTGGATTTAGGTGACCATTTACCATCAATGATTGTGGAACTTTTTTTTTTTTTTTGCGGGGAGGGGTTGTAAAGACCACACATAAGGAAATGATAGGACTTTTAGAGCCCATTCACAATTGTGCGACTTTGCGGTCCGAGTCGCATCCCATGTTTCCCAATGAGTACCATTTGCATCCGTGCAACTTCAAGTTGCAGCGACTCGAAAGTAGTTCCTTCACTACTATGGTCCAACTTTCATGTAACTTGAGGGCCATAGACTTCAATGTAAACTCTCCAAAGTCGCATGGAAGTTGCACCTAAAAGATACACATGCACCTTATGCGTGACTTTGTACAGGACAAACAGTCATCCCTGGTCAAAGCCCAAACTTTGTGCAATTTTCCCACGTGACGGAATCGCAAAAAAACCATGCCTTTACAAAAACGCTTGTAGCTTGTTACCCAGAAATGATGCAGAAAAGCATGTAGTGCATTTTTTATGCGTTTTGCATTTTAATCTACTTGACGAGAAAAAAAAACCTGCAAAAAATGCATGTGCAAAATGGACCGCAAAAAGCACTGCAGAAATGGATCAAATGCAAGCTGCATAGGTGTGAACCTAGCCAATGTAAATGGGCTGCCCTAAGTGCAATGCGCCTTAACGCGTGAAAAATGTGCAAGAAATGCATGTAGTGCATTTTAATCTGCCCAGCAACAAGTTGGAAAAAAAAACATAAAAACGCAAAACGAGACAAAAATTCGTGCAAAAATGCAAAACACACCACAAAAAGCACTGCTTCTATAGACTTCAGTGGAATTGCTGCAGAAGTGCATGAAGTGCGTTTTTTGATGTGTTTTAATCTGCCCAGTAACCAGTTGGGAAAAAAAATTATAAAAATGCAAAACGCATTAAGACGTGCAAATATGCAAAACGCACTGCAAAAAGCACTTCTTCTATAGACTTCAGTGGAATTGCTTCAGAAGTGCATGAAGTGCGTTTTTGATGTGTTTTAATCCACCCAGCAACAAGTTGGAAACCCCCCCCCCCCCCCCCATAAAAATGCAACACATAAAAAACACATGCAAAAATGCACTGCAAAAATCTGTGCAGCAAAAAGTTTGAAAAAACCCATAAAAATGCTGAACGCATCCAAAACGCGTCAAAAACGTGCAAAAATGCAAAACGCACCGCAAAAACATTGCTTCTATAGACTGCAGTGGAATTGCTGCAGAAGTGCGTTTTTGATGTGCTTTACTCTGCCCAGCAACAAGTTGGAAAAAAACCCATAAAAATGCAAAACGCGGCAAAAATGCAAAACGCACTGAAAAAAAAAGCAAGCACTGCTTCTATAGACTTCAGTGGAATTGCTTCAGAAGTTCATGAAGTGCGTTTTGATGTGTTTTAATCTGCCCAGCAACAAGTTGGAAACCACCCCCCTCCATAAAAATGCAAAACACATAAAAAACACATGCAAAAACGCACCTTAAAAATGCATGAAAAATGTGCAAGCAATGCATGTAGTGCTTTTTAATCTGTGCAGCAACAAGTTCGAAAAAACCCATAAAAATGCAAAACGCATCCAAAATGTGTCAACGTGCAAAAATGCAAAACGCACCGCAAAACACTGCTTCTATAGGCTGCAGTGGAATTGCTGCAGAAGTGCATGAAGTGTGTTTTTGATGTGTTTTAATCTGCCCAGCATCAAGTTGGAAACCCCCCCCCCCCCCCCCATAAAAATGCAAAACACATAAAAAACACATGCAAAAATGCACCTCAAAAATGCATGAAAAATGTACAAGCACTGCATGTACTGCTTTTTAATCTGCGCAGCAACAAGTTTGAAAAAACCCATAAAAATGCAAAACGCATCCAAAATGTGTAAAAAAAAAAAAAAAAAAAAACATGCAAAACGCACCACAAACAGCACTGCTTCTATAGACTGCAGTGGAATTGCTGCAGAAGTTGGAACCCCGCCCCCCCATAAAAATGCAAAACACATAAAAAACACATGCAAAAATGTGTGAAAAATGTGCAAGAAATGCATGTAGTGCTTTTTAATCTGCGCAGCAACAAGTTGGAAAAAACCTATAAAAATGCAAAATGCATCCAAAACACGTCAAAAACGTGCAAAAATGCGAAACGCACTGCAAAAGCACTGCTTCTTTAGACTGCAGTGGAATTGCTGTAGAAGTGCGTTTTTGATGTGTTTTAATCCGCCCAGCAACAAATTGGAAAAAAAAAAACTATAAAAATGCAAAACGCGGCAAAAACACGTGCAAAAATGCAAAACGCACCGCAAAAAGCACTGCTTCTATAGACTTCAGTGGAATTGCCGCAGAAGTGTGTTTTTGATGTGTTTTAATCTGCCCAGCAACAAGTTGGAACCCCCCCATAAAAATGCAAAACACCTAAAAAACACATGCAAAACGCAACGTAAAAATGCGTGAAAAATGTGCAAGAAATGCGTAGTGCATTTTAATCTGCCCAGCAACAAGTTGGGATAAAAAAAAAACCTATAAAAATGCAAAAAATCAAAAACGTGCAAAAATGCAAACCGCACTGCAAAAATGCGTGAAAAAAAGTGCAAAACAAAAAGCTCCCGCTATGCTCAGGTGCAATCGGAGCCTAAGGCTAGTGCCACACTGCACCCTATATGTCATTTTTGATTTGCACCCCCCCCCCCCCATAATGAAGTGAACCTAGGTTCAGGGAGGCACCCCCATGATGAATGCAGGCTGGTGTTGGGCATGGACCGGCGGCTTTGATGAAAGGCACACATGAGCTGCGTTGCCGTGTTCCGGTGTCACTGGCTCCCTTCCCAGCAGCTTCATTTGCATTCAGCTGTGCGATCGCCTGGTGGCTCGCCGTGCCGGCTCTTACCTTGGTCTGATGCGTCTGTATTTGGGGAAGAAAATGACACAGTTTTATTTGGCTTTCATTTCTGCTCTCTGAAGAGTCAGGACATTGCTTTTTGCTCGGCGGCTTCACTTCAAAGGCTGCGCTTGTTTTGGGCTCAAGAAATATGTGATTTAAAATAATATTTTTTTCCTTTCCTTTCCTGTGATTTACCAGTAAACACTTCAGAGGGTGCGGGATTCCAGAACCTGGCTGGGTGTTTTAACTCCTTTTCATAAATTTCAAGAAATCTAGAGGCCTCCAGTGGCTGCCGAAAGCATGCACCCTGCTGCAGACTTCTGGAGGTGAGTCGGGCTGCTGAGAGGAGTCACAAGACTGCCTGCAGCTCAATTAACAGAGAGAACTCAGACGAAACATACAAATCAGCTCTAAAAATGTTTTGTAGTTTATTAAATATATTCATAGCATATGCCATGCGGCCAGGGCTTTTTTTTTCAGAGGAAAGGTGGTGGAACTCCCCCACCCAAACCTGGCCACGCCCCCATCAAACCCTAGGACCACCCCTTTAGAGAACAGGAATGCAAGTAAAATTTGGGGGGGCTTCCGATGACATCATTTCCCGTACATACCATATAAGGGAAATGATGTCATCGGACCCCCGGCTGCCTCTTGCATGATCTGCATGAAACACATGCATAGATATAAAATGACTAATGTACTGACACCAGAAGCACATGCATAGATATAAAATGACTAATGTACTGACACCAGAAACACATGCATAGATATAAAATGAATACCGTACTGACACCAGAAACACACGCATAGATATAAAATCAGTACCGTACTGACACCAGAAACACATGCATAGATATAAAATCAGTACCGTACTGACACCAGAAACACACGCATAGATATAAAATCAGTACCGTACTGACACCAGGAACACATGCATAGATATAAAATCATGGCAGGCCGTTTGTAAACGTCCAGCATAGATATAAAATCAGTCTAGCATGCATGTGTACCCTGTCTGGTAGATGTGCCTGCTCCTACAGGCTCCCCTAGGGTTGCCACCTTTTCCTCCAAAAAATACCGTCCATCACTGAATTTATCTTTCCTGTTCCTCATGCACAGGAGGGGCGCTCTCGATCGGCGCCGCTGAGCGCTGAGCAATTGCGTTCTGAAATAGTTTAGGTGGGCTCAGGTGGGTGAGGATAGTTTAGGTGGGCTCAGATAGTTTAGGTGGGCACAGGTGGTTGGGATAGTTTAGGTGGGCACAGGCTGGGGAGAGAGTAAAAATTTAGAGCAATACATGATACTGCAGTCAGTGACAGGGAGCCGAGCGCAGCTTACCTACTCCAAGCTGTACGGCCCCTGCGTCCACACGCTGTCACTGCCGTTGATGTCGCCGCGCCGCCCCCGATGTTTACACGCCGGCGGGGGGGGGCGGTGAAGCGTGCATAGTGTCCTCGCCCATCGTCCGCGCCCCCGATGTTTACACGCTGGCGGTAGAGGGGGGGGGGGTGAAGCGTGCATGTCCCCGCTCACCGGCTGTGAGCAGCGGCAGTGACAGGTGCCGGGCACGCGCAAGCATGACATAAACAAGCCGCGTCCGGCACCTGTCACTTTCGCTGCTCTGCATAGCTTGTCAGCTCTGCAGAGGCAGTCGGTGAGCGGGGACAAGAAGAAAAAGGTGGCGGAACGCAGTACCGCCGCGTTCCGGCAGAAAGAAAGCCCTGCATGCGGCACTCTATATACTGTAGGCCAGGGGCGGACTGACCACTCATGGGGCCCCCGGGCAATAGGGGGTTATGGGGCCCTTGTGTCCTTGCCCACACTCAAAACTCGCCTTAAAAAGTACCAGGGGCATTTCATAGGGCCCCCTACTGACCCCGGGCCCTCGGGCAGTGCCCGAGTGCTCGAATGGTCAGTCCGCCCCTAATTCATAGCATATGCCATGCGGCACTCTATATACTGTCAGGGGCGGACTGACAACTCATGGGGCCCCCGGGCAATAGGGGATCATGGGGCCCCTGTGTCCTTGCCCACACTCAAAACTCACCAAAAAAAGGTACCAAGGGCATTTCATGGGGCCCCCTACTGACCCCAGGCCCTCGGGCAGTGCCCGAGTGCTCGAATGGTCAGTCCACCCCTAATTCAAAGCATATGCCATGCGGCACTCTATATACTGTAGGCCAGGGGTGGACTGACAACTCATGGGGCCCCCGGGCAATAGGGGATCATGGGGCCCCTGTGTCCTTGCCCAAACTCAAAAAAGCCTATGAAAAAGGTACCAGGGGCATCTCATGGGCCCCCTACTGACCCCGGGCCCTCAGGCAGTGCCCGAGTTTCCAAATGGTCAGTCCGCCCCTGCTGTAGGCAGAGAGTCTTGTGACTCCTCTCAACAGCCTTAAAGGGTAAGTTCACCTTTTCACCAAAAAATTAAAAGGTGGGCTAACTCCAAATATTTTGGTGTTCGCTGCACATAGTGTCTGTAATGCCAGGTGCTGCCAGTGTAGCGGCCCGTACTCCGCAATACACAGCCCTGGAGTGAGGATCCATCATAATGCATGCTATGGCAATAGCTCATTGGCCAGCAAAGCTATGTGACCGTGCTGACCAATGAGAAGTGCAGCTGAGGCTTCTTCCTCCAGTAAGAAAGAAGAGCTGCTGGATCGCTAGCACAGCCACGTGGTCGCACGACCAATGAATGCTTGTCACTGCCAGCATTTTGATGGATACTCTTTGGAGGTTTGTATTACGGTGTACAGACCAGGGCCGGACTGACAACTCATGGGGCCCCCGGGCAATAGGGGATCATGGGGCCCCTGTGTCCTTGCCCAAACTCAAAAAAGCCTATGAAAAAGGTACCAGGGACATCTCATGGGGCCCCCTACTGACCCTGGGCCCTCGGGCAGTGCCCGAGTTTCCAAATGGTCAGTCCGCCCCTGGTACAGACTGCCACACAAACAGCACAGGGCGGGTGCAGTGGGGTCTGGAGGGGTGGCCAGGATAGTTGGAGTTATTTCACCTTTTTATTTTTTCATAAAAAGGTGAAGTCGCCCTTTAAGGGCTCATGTAGACGGGGCGTTTGGAAAACTCTTCTGACTGCTGGAAACTGCTAGAAAATGCAGGATAAAAAAAAAAAAAAACCACAGTTTAGCTGCGTTTGCATACCGCGTTTATTTGCGTTTAGAAGTGTTTTTAATAGATAACCTCAGGAGACCTTCCCAAATGCCCAGAATGCTCTGAAAAACAGTAAATAATTAACTATTTCAGACATTTTGAGAGAAATAGAGAGAGCAGAAGCAGAGAGAGCAGTATGTGTTGTGATGACCTGTCTTTTCTGGTTGTATTCACTATGGATCCCATCATGAGCATAATGCGGCACGTTCTACCATTGCTTCCTTCACGCGAAACCTGGAACTGACTGCGCTGGTGGACCATTTGAATACCTGGAAAACGCTTCTAAGCGAAAACGCTTATAAACACGGTTAACCACATTTACAAGCGTTTGAAAAGTCGGTAAAATCTACTCCTGAACACAAGTTTGGTGCGTTCAAAAAAACGGCTTTAAACTCAACTGCCTGTAAATGACTGTAAACAACGATGTGTACATGGACACAGGAAAACATTAGGGAAAAAATGCAGAAAAGCTCCTGAACAGGGGCGGACTGACCATTTGGAAACTTGGGCACTGCCCGAGGGCCCAGGGTCAGTAGGGGGCCCCATGAGATGCCCCTGGTACCTTTTTCATAGGCTTTTTTGAGTTTGGGCAAGGACACAGGGGCCCCATGATCCCCTATTGCCCGGGGGCCCCATGAGTTGTCAGTCCGTTCCTCCTCCTGAACGTCCGTTTAGCAGCTGCATTGTACAGTGGGCTCTGAGGAAGAGGTACAACCCCGAAACGCGTCAGCCACCAACTATCCAGAGGTTCACAATCCCCCACCAGACCACCTTCAGGGGTTCCTGGACCACTTTACATCCCTTGCAACATTTTGATCTGATTATATTTCTCTTGTATTGTACAATTTATAAATAAATCTCATTTTTAAGGTAATGCATTAGGCCTGTGCGCCTTCTTTTTGTTTCTTATATGCAGTCTACATGAGCCCTAAGGCTGCTGACAGGAGTCACAAGACTCTCTGCAGCTTATTGTCTGTTCCTACAATATGTTGTTCTGCCATGTAGTGGCCACAATGACATAAAGATGTATATTACCCACTTGCCCTCCTGAGGATTTACCCCCTTAATGACCAGGCCTCTTTTTGCTACTCGGCGCTGCACTAATGCAACTGATAATTGCGCGGTCATGCAACGCGGCACCCAAACGAAATTTACGTCCTTTTTTTCACACAAATAGGGCTTTCTTTCGGTGGTATTTGATCACCTGTGCGCTTTTTATTTTTCACGCTATGAGGAAAAAAAAGGCCAAAAATTTTAAGAAAAACAATATTTTTTACTTTCAGCTATAAAAAATATATAGTAAACTCAAAGTTGGTTAAAAATTTAGGCCAAAATGTATTCTGCTCCTCGTTTTTGGTAAAAAAAAAATCCCAATAAGTGTATATTGATTACTTTGTGTGAAAGTTATAGCGTCTACAAACTATGGTATAGATAATGGAATTTACGCCTTTTTTTGCTATACAGCGCTGCGCTAGTTTAACGGACAATTGTGCGGTCATGCAATACGGTACATAAATTAAATTTACATCCTTTTTTTCCCACAAATTGAGCTTTCTTTCGGTGGTATTTTATCCCCTGTGCGTTTTTATTTTTTGCGCTGACAGTTTTAAAGAAAAAAATTAATATTTTGGACTTTTTGCTATAAAAACATATCCAGTAAAAAAAAGTAAAAATCAAATTTAGTCATAAATTTCAGCCAAAATGTATTCTGCTACATGTCTTTGCAAAAAAAAAAAAAATCCCAATCCCAAAATTAATTGGTTTATGTGAAAGTTATAGCGTTTACAAATGATATACAGTCAGGTCCATAAATATTGGGACATCGACACAATTCTAACATTTTTGGCTCTATACACCACCACAATGGATTTGAAATGAAACGAACAAGATGTGCTTTAACTGCAGACTGGCCACTTTAATTTGAGGGTATTTACATCCAAATCAGGTGAACGGTGTAGGAATTACAACAGTTTGCATATGTGCCTCCCACTTGTTAAGGGACCAAAAGTAATGGGACAGAATAATAATCATAAATCAAACTTTCACTTTTTAATACTTGGTTGCAAATCCTTTGCAGTCAATTACAGCCTGAAGTGTGGAACGCATAGACATCACCAGACGCTGGGTTTCATCCCTGGTGATGCTCTGCCAGGCCTCTACTGCAACTGTCTTCAGTTCCTGCTTGTTCTTGGGGCATTTTCCCTTCAGTTTTGTCTTCAGCAAGTGAAATGCATGCTCAATCGGATTCAGGTCAGGTGATTGACTTGGCCATTGCAGAACATTCCACTTCTTTCCCTTAAAAAACTCTTTGGTTGCTTTTGCAGTATGCTTTGGGTCATTGTCCATCTGCACTGTGAAGCGTCCAATGAGTTGTGAAGCATTTGGCTGAATATGAGCAGATAATATTGCCCGAAACACTTCAGAATTCATCCGGCTGCTTTTGTCAGCAGTCACATCATCAATAAATACAAGAGAACCAGTTCCATTGGCAGCCATACATGCCCACGCCATGACACTACCACCACCATGCTTCACTGATGAGGTGGTATGCTTAGGATCATGAGCAGTTCCTTTCCTTCTCCATACTCTTCTCTTCCCATCACTCTGGTACAAGTTGATCTTGGTCTCATCTGTCCATAGGATGTTGTTCCAGAACTGTGAAGACTTTTTTAGATGTCGTTTGGCAAACTCTAATCTGGCCTTCCTGTTTTTGAGGCTCACCAATGGTTTACATCTTGTGGTGAACCCTCTGTATTCACTCTGGTGAAGTCTTCTCTTGATTGGTGACTTTGACACACATACACCTACCTCCTGGAGACTGTTCTTGATCTGGCCAACTGTTGTGAAGGGTGTTTTCTTCACCAGGGAAAGAATTCTTCGGTCATCCACCACAGTTGTTTTCTGTGGTCTTGTTTTTTTTTTGGGTGAGGGGATGGGAAAAGTGCCAATGATTATGAGATTATTATTTGATTGGCTGGGGGTTAAAGTGCAACTGAGCACCAATGATTGTGTTTTTTTTTTGGGAGGGGGGGGATAAAGTGCCAATGACCACAAACGCTGATTTATTTAAGGTTGTAGGAGGTAATTAATGTGCCAGTGACTACCAATGATTGTGCAATTGATTTTCAAGTTCCACTGACTTCCAATAAAAGTGGAATTTTTTTTTGGGGGAGGGGGGCAGAAATTACAGTACCACCAGTGATTGTGGGATTGTCTTTTTTTTTCAAAGGTGTGTGTGTATGTGGGCAGTTGACGCATTTTGCTTTTTGGGGGGCTAATAGGAAAGTGTGACAGTTCTGTTCATGTACTGTGACTTTGATATGACTCTAATGCGACTTTGATGCAACTTGAGTGCCAGAGAGTGTAACGTCACGCCAAAGTCGCACTACATGAACAGAACTGTCATACTTTCCTATTAGCCAAAAAGAAATGCGACTTTGGACACCACTTCCTGCATTACTTTGATGCTACTTCAGTGCCAGAGAGTGTAATGTCGCATCAAAGTTGTACTACATGAACAGAACTGTCGTACTTTGCTATTGGGGTCAGTTTTTTCATCATTCAGTTTTTCATCAGCACGCCAGTTTTTTCATCAGTTCACGCCAGTTTTTTCATCAGTTCACGCCAGTTTTTTCATCAGTTCACGCCAGTTTTTTCATCAGTTCACGCCAGTTTTTTCATCAGTTCACGCCAGTTTTTTCATCAGTTCACGCCAGTTTTTTCATCAGTTCACGCCAGTTTTTTCATCAGTTCACGCCAGTTTTTTCATCAGTTCACGCCAGTTTTTTCATCAGTTTCACGCCAGTTTTTTCATCAGTTCACGCCAGTTTTTTCATCAGTTCACGCCAGTTTTTTCATCAGTTCACGCCAGTTTTTTCATCAGTTCACGCCAGTTTTTTCATCAGTTCACGCCAGTTTTTTCATCAGTTCACGCCAGTTTTTTCATCATCAGTTCACGCCAGTTTTTTTCATCAGTTCACGCCAGTTTTTTCATCAGTTCACGCCAGTTTTTTCATCAGTTCACGCCAGTTTTTTCATCAGTTCACGCCAGTTTTTCATCAGTTCACGCCAGTTTTTTCATCAGTTCACGCCAGTTTTTTCATCAGTTCACGCCAGTTTTTTCATCAGTTCACGCCAGTTTTTTCATCAGTTCACGCCAGTTTTTTCATCAGTTCACGCCAGTTTTTTCATCAGTTCACGCCAGTTTTTTCATCAGTTCACGCCAGTTTTTTCATCAGTTCACGCCAGTTTTTTCATCAGTTCACGCCAGTTTTTTCATCAGTTCACGCCAGTTTTTTTCATCAGTTCACGCCAGTTTTTTCATCAGTTCACGCCAGTTTTTTCATCAGTTCACGCCAGTTTTTTTGTTCATCAGTCAGTTTTTTTCATCTGTTCACGTCAGTTTTTTCATCTGTTCACGCCAGTTTTTTCATCACGTTTTTCATCTGTTCACGCCAGTTTTTTCATCAGTTCACGCCAGTTTTTTCATCTGTTCACGTCAGTTTTTTCATCTGTTCCACGTCAGTTTTTTCATCTGTTCACGTCAGTTTTTTCATCTGTTCACGTCAGTTTTTTCATCTGTTCACGTCAGTTTTTTCATCTGTTCAGTTTTTTTCATCTGTTCACGTCAGTTTTTTCATCTGTTCACGTCAGTTTTTTCATCTGTTCACGTCAGTTTTTTCATCTGTTCACGTCAGTTTTTTCATCTGTTCACGTCCAGTTTTTTCATCTGTTCACGTCAGTTTTTTCATCTGTTCACGTCAGTTTTTTCATCTGTTCACGTCAGTTTTTTCATCAGTTCACGCCA